AGATTTGTTTCATTGTCATCTGATGCTTCTTCAAAACCCGGTCTATTGTGGAGATGTTTATTGTGTTTATATTCTGGAATATATGATTGTCCTGAAGGATGGCATCACGGATCTGTCTCAAGGTGATGACATTATTTGCCATCACCATGTTACAAAACTGTCTTTCGTGTTGTTCATTGAGCAGTTTTCCTCTGCCACCCACGCGAGGTTGTCGTCCAATCCTACACAAAGAACAGAATACAGTAAGTTACCTGTGTAATTGTATTATTGTTTCACTCACAGTAACTTCACCACAATCCTAATGCAACATTGCACAGTGACTGGAATACTACTCTAAACTGTATAAATTATGTAATTCCATAGTTTACAGTAATTTGTTCAATATATTTCTTGTCATATTTAGTATCAAAACATTCCACTAGTCCTCTCCACCTGCTAGTATAGACCTACTACTGTAGGCAGATGCACACAAAATCTCTACAGTAAGTTAACATTTTTTGCCTCACACACAGTGCCCTGTCCTATACAACATATAATTCCATCATAGATTACATAGAGTACATACCTGTTTTCCCTGCGAAAGGTTTGGATGATGGAGGAGACTGTAGAGCGAGGCACATTAGGCACTCGACAACCTGCCCCTGCCATTGTGAGGCCATGGTTTATGACATGGTCTATAATTGTGGCCTGAATTTCATTTGGGACAGCACAGTGTCTTCGTGCACCTCGGCTTCTTCCCCGTGGTGGTATTCCTCCACCACGCATTCTCAGTCCTCCTCTTCTTCTTCTTCTTCCTCCTCTTCCTTGAGGAAGAACTTCCCCTTGTCCGTTTGCTTGGCCTTGTCTATCCATGTTCAGAGATCGGACTGGCTCTGGTCAAGCTCTATATATCTGTGTTTGGCAGCACACAATCATGGAACACCTCTGTGTGTGACACTCCCCTTTTGTTAGTCTAGTTTCACCTGACTGTCAATGACTGTCATCAATTTATCAAATATTCAAAGAAATTCATAAATGGTATTCATGGTATTATGTTCTTGACCAATTTTGACAATTGAACAGACAGTTGTGCATGTGAGTACTTATACAATGAAATCATGCTGACATGTTTTGGAGGGAATGATCATTAGACTGAGAATCAACTAATCAGTTTAGATCTACAAGATCTATTCATTTGGAAAATGTGCTACATGTGGGCTAACTGTATAACTGTAGGCTACTTGTACTTAATCATTTGCAAAGATGCACTGGGACAATTGAGACATGTACTAAGGCATTTGCCATTTGATAAAATGAATGAGAAATGCCATTCTGTTGTGAACATTTTCCAAGAGGTTTGGAGGTTTGTCCATGTTATTTTGAGAATGTAATTTCTGTTTCAAGAAATGAGCCAAACCAATGGCGAAAAACTGTAATAAGTCTTTCGCTTTTCAAAATAGCACAACGTGCAGTTTTATTGCACGTTGCAGGTTTGCAGGTTTATTCATCTACAGTTAAAATCCAGTATTTTGTCTCTATTTGTATTTGTTTACAGATTGTTGGGGTCAGAAATCCCAAAACCCAGTATATACAAAATATATGTAAATCTAAAGTAATAGTAAATTGTAGTAGTAGTAAGAGATATTTTAAACTGCGTGTCAGTATTGTGTTGATGTGCAAACAATTATGTTATAGCAGTGGAGTAAAGAAGGCAGACAACGGTACGCGCTGATAACCTCTGCCATGTTTAGGTCATGGCATGCAGTATACGTATTCACAAATACATATAGATGCCTATATAGCCAGATGTGAATGCAGGCACATGGGCATGCACAACAACAACAGACACACACATATAAGTTCTTATTGTACACAGATCAAACACTGATCCACATGCATGCACAGAGTGCAGATTAAGACTATCCCTTGCCGTAAGGGCTTAGTTGACATCTCTGTCTAAGCTCTACATTCTTTACCTCCCTCTTTGCCCTTCCTCTTCTTCTAGCAGCACGTTCATTACCATAAAAAGCAATAACCATCTGATGGTCTCTTCATACCTGTGTACTTCTGGCACTCAAGAATGCACAGTCCCTATTTGCTCCATCAAACTGATCTGATGAACTGAACACCATGTGAAGTTAAGACTTTCTCGCTGACAATCTGCAGTCTTTCTCAGTGATACGCAATAACTGAGCAGTAGCAATGTGCCTTGTTTAATGACTGGAATGAATTGCCAACGTTTCTTCAAATTAGTAACCTGTAGAGCTTAACTGGAGGTATAAATATTTGAAGGTCTGTGATTTTGTCTTCAATAGCCTTCATGTTGTGCTCATTGGTCAAGGGAGATGCCTATTAGTTTAATTCTGTGAGTGATCCTACAGAGTCTGTGCATGCCAGACTCTGTAAAATCACACAACGAGGTCACTGCAGAGCATGCATCATTTGGATAAACACACGCACGTCAGTATTGAGCTTGCGTGACTACTCGCATGCATTAAATACGGATAGACTATTCTGCATAGTAATGGTTTCTAATGACTTGCAGTACTAGCTGGAATCAGTGGTTGTGAAATGTTACATGCACTGTGCTCCCATCTAGTTTGCAATGTCCGATGCATTTCCGAGCTCAAATGGCTTTTGGTGCAAGTATGTTTGTTTGTTATGTAAGAAGCTGGTGGTTAAAGGGTTAGCGCTCAGGGCTGGGCCATATTACATTCAGGACGGGTAGGGCATGTGAGAAAGAGGAGAGAGAGAGAGAGAGAGAGAGAGAGAGATAGAGAGAGAGAGAGAGTATGACAAGGGAAAGGTTGAGAGAGCAACACAAAGCTTCATGGGACAGTGAGGGAGAGGCACATTTAGAGAGAGATGAGAGGTTAGAAGTCACTAGTTCACAAGATAATGAGAGACAGACTACTGATTCAGATCTTGGTGGACAGCTGGTGCGAAGGCTGAAGAGGCTGCAGGCTAACACTGAAAGCAAAACAAGTGTGGGATTTAACAAGAATATCGGCAGCTCGCTACAACAACAGGAAATACTTGGATACCACAGGTGAAAGACACAATTTTGAAGCAGACCTGCAGCAAATAACAGAAAGTACATTTGGAGACAACATCTGAAAGGATATGGACACCTTGTGTCTTGCATCATATACCACTGGACAAAGAAGTAGAAGAGGAGGTGTTATATTTTCAGTGATTTTTATTTTATTGCAGATATTTTTTTGTAAATATTTCCAGATTGGTAGTGTAACCGTATCATACTGTGCAGCTCTTCCAGCTTTCTCTCCTAAACTAATCATATGCACTTAGTTAGATTCAGCATTTCACAAAGTGGGGATCACCTAATTCCTCTGATTTAGTGCTTCGTATACAATGGGAGGTGTTGAAAACATGCAGCAAAGTTAAAATCAATCAAACCTCTGTATACTTCTCCAGTGTTTCTTTTTGTGCACATGCTACGACTATGGATGTTCAGCATGAGCAAAGTCAAGTTAGTTACAAACTAGTAGATGTAGCACAGCCCGCCAGAGTGACAGTTCTGATGAGGTGTTTGAACCATGTGGTCCACTGAGAGCATGGAGCCAGAGAAAGCACACAGCCAGAGAAGCTTCTTCAACAAGGTGGACGTGCCTGATCATGTTCACTACCTTGTGGCTTCATTTGTCTTCATCATTGGGGCACTGGGCATCACTGGAAACTCTCTGGTTATGTTTGCCTTCTACAGGTAGGTATAAAACTGGCTTGTTTATTTAGATTTTTGTTTTTAATAATTGTGCATATCCCTTTTTTTGTAGATAATCTGAGCTCTTACCATTTACAGTGTGCAAGATGTGATGATCTCTCGTATGAACTCTATTATACTATACTCTTTGTTTCTTTATCTGAACTTATGAAGCAAAACAACAATAAAGGTTAAGGGGTTTTGACAGTGCATCAAACAAGTTAGTGATTACAAGTAAAAGTAATCTTTGCATCACAGTGTCGAGAAGGTAATCCTTGCTAAGCAGCATCAAATTAAAAAAATGTTTTTTGAAAAATCAATAATTAAATGCTGCATGCACAAATACCTGAAATTAGATTAATGGTTGCATAAATATATATGGCATTGAAATTAAAATCTAATGTACCATTCAAGTCAACCATGAAATCCACACTGCCATGTAGTACAACAAGTCAAAATTAAATGACACCTGTTAAGGTTGCATGTCACTGATGGATCAGTCTCGTAACATCACAATTGTAAACTTTCTTTTAGAAGTCAAGGATGGAAAAATGTGTTATGTGTTGTGTTGTGTAATTCAGAGTACCATTTAAGTTAAATGGTACTCAAAAACTGGGTCAGTGTGTGTGTGTGGTGCTGCTGTTCTGGGGATTGTCACAAGCTTTCATACTCCTCTGTCCATCATCACAGACAGATTAGATGGATTTTCCATTGTGTTGCTCTCATAATTTGTGTTTAGTGAATCAGAAATGCGCATGATGTTATGGGTTCCAAGAAACACACAACTCGCACAGCCACACACACAAACACACACCTAGAGCTTGAATGAAATCTCAATCAATATGATGATTTTTGGGGAAATGCTTTATAATATTCACGCACACATTCAATATTATTCAATACTACAGTATTGTTTGCAAAGGCATCGACTCAAACAAATTGGGTGGAATACGTTTCATTAAAACTGCAGGAAAAAAAGTTAAATTCAGGATAAACAGGAACAAAAAGCTGTGACAGAAGAAGACAGCAGGTCAATATCCTGGGTAATCAAGCTTGAATACAGGTGCACCAGTTCACACATGGTCGAATAGTTTAACAAAGAGCTTGTCTCTGATCAATGTTGACCATTAAACCGCAAAATTATTTAATTATATTATATTGAGCTTTACATGCAAAGGAAATACATGTGGAGTAGGCAAATGTTTTCAGTGTTTTGGACCTGCCAAAAATATAAATAAATAAACAAAAATAATTCAGCATATTGAATTTCCTATGGTTTGGTGAGATCCTCATCCTGCACCTCTTCTAAGTTGACCTTTGAAAGAGAATTTAACCAGTTAAAATGTGGACTTGCAGTTGCAGAAATTGGATTCAAATACCATTTGAACCAAAAGAATCTGCATTGATTTAATTTTAAGTATGACTCAAACAGTGTTTTTCAAAAATGAGTATATATGTATAATAATTAGACGATGAAATTACAAAATTATTGTCATTTTAGTCATCTGAGGGATTATACTAATCAAAACACATTAAACATAAAGTCTCAAAAATTACTGCTGTATTTGAGGACTTTATTTTAGCTTTCTGATCACTGCGAGAAAGCCTGAGAATGATTAATGTTGTCATTTTTAATGCCACTGTGCTGTATAATATACAATTTTCCATACATTCTGTATGTTTGTGTGCTTTGCAGCAGCAAGAAACTTCGTAACTTGCCAAACTACTTAATCATGAACTTGGCAGTCAGCGACTTCCTCATGGCTTTTACGCAGTCCCCCATCTTCTTCATCAACTGCCTCTACAAGGAATGGGTATTTGGAGAGATGGGTAATTGTCTCCTTTGTTTTCTGATACAAAGTGAAGTGTGTGTGTGTGTGTGTGTGTGTGTGTGTGTTAAAGTCATATTTTTGTTTACAAATTTTTACATTCAGGTTGTTGATGTGTTGTTTCTTGCAGGATGTAAGATGTATGCATTCTGTGGTGCCCTGTTTGGCATTTCCTCAATGATAAACCTGCTGGCCATCTCGATTGAACGCTATGTAGTTATCACCAAGCCTCTGAAGGCCATCCACTGGAGCTCGAAAAGAAGAACCACTCTTGCCATTCTCGTGGTCTGGCTTTACTCTTTGGCATGGAGTCTAGCTCCTCTAGTTGGCTGGAGTGAGTCTCCTCAAACTGCATGTCTTTTTACTTCTAGTAAACACAAGTCCAGACTAGTGTTTTACTATTTTATTACGATTACTGAAAACTACTGCTTTCTGTGATTTAGACATATTTCATTTTCACTTCTAGGCTCCTATATCCCAGAGGGCCTCATGACATCTTGTACGTGGGATTATGTTACGTACACAACAGCCAGTAGGAGCTACACAATGATGCTGTGCTGTTTTGTCTTCTTTATCCCACTGGGAATCATCCTTTACTGCTATCTTCTAATGTTTCTGTCTATAAGGAAAACTGGGAGGTATTACAGATCTTGTGTGTTTAATATGCTGCGTGCTTGTATATTTATAATATTAGATTCTGTGCAACATCCAGGGACTGACTGTGCACAAACTACTTACTTCTTTTAGTTTAATTATTATGTTCTTATGAGTTCTTTGGTGAATTCTGATGTTGCGTGTGCTCCTGATACTCTTAGTATTTTGTATCTTATTATTATATCTTGTGTTTGTAAATGCACAAGCCTATTCCTAAAGCATATAGTGCACTGGTCCTCCACCTAAGCTGGAAAGATACTCATAAAAGGATTTATGATAAGATACAACCGTGTTTTCAATAAAAATAACCTCAGTCTTACACACTGTAGTGTTGGAGGACAGTTAATTTGGATTCAAAACACATGTTTTACCTCATTATCTACCTCCTTTTACTTCAAAAGAGGCATCCATTGTGTTTTTAAACATAACAATTGCTTGTGTTATTGACCTGGAATGACCAAGGGCTATTTCCATCTAAGCAGCAGGTGCAGTGAACTTCATGCTTCAGGGAGAAAGGCATGTGTATTGAGTGGGCTTTTTTTTAAGACACTCTCAACACAAATGTAGAAAATAGGTATTTTGTGTTCAGAAATTAATCAGAAGGTTTTAAAAAATTGCTTATTACTTATAATTTGTGGTAACAATAGCACTTTCAGATGACTGTAGTAATACTTAAAGAGAGAGTTACATCCCCAAAGAAAACTGAGGTTATTTATGTGATACTGTAGTCTTTTCCTCAGTGCAGATATTCCTAAAAGATCTATCTTCTGCAATAATATTGTGCATGGAGCAGTAGCCATGTAAAGTTAAAAAGAAGAAATATATAGTATGAATATATTTACCACACTGTCCATCCTGCTCTATTTACAGGGAACTAGAACGTTTGGGGACTCAGGTGAGAAAATCCACTCTCATCCAGCAGAAATCTATTAGGAGTGAGTGGAAAATGGCAAAAATTGCCTTTGTCGTAATTGTGGTCTACGTCCTCTCCTGGTCTCCATATGCCTGCGTCACACTAATTTCTTGGTCTGGGTAAGATTATTTTATCTGTTAATAGTGATGATTGTGTACTTTTATTCCTTGGTAATGTACATAACAGATTCATACATTTGTAGATTGTTCATTTGAAAGCATACCTGTCAGAAAAATCAGAAAAAGTCAGGTTTGCAACTGTTTTTGTTATGGCCTTTGTCATAATGTAAAAAACATGGTTGGTGAAAAAATGATATTGGGCACATTCACTGCTCTCACTATCAGATGTACTTATCTATAACATGGTGAACAGGAACAAGTAACACTTCACTAGAGACGCAGTGGTGGTGTGCTGTATGGGAGCAGTTGTAAGCACAAGATTTTAATAACTGAGCAAATATTATTCTCAATTATTAATCTTCTCCATATATAACGTTCAGGCATTTCTTCACATAAGCAATCACAAACAAAGCTTCAGTATAATTCAATGATGTTTGCCTCATTATATTCTGTGGTTGGATTTTTATCATTACATAATGTTGTGTCAACAAGAGGCCAGTATTCCCTGGTTGGGTTACATACAACAGGCGGTGAAGTTGCTCGTATGCCCTGTGCTTATCACAACATCCAGTAAACCACGTGTCTACCCTGGGACATACAGTTGGTTATGTAACTTTGAAATCACATTCTGCTCATTCAGAGTGGAAAGGTAGTCACACTTGTGCACACACACATGCACACGCGCAAGCAAAGATGATCAGATGGACTTAAGCGACCCTCTTTAGCAGCTGGCACATGTTCGTTAATCTCTAACCAAATATGTCCCTTAATTATGTTACAAAACACGAAAGAGAAACTGGATCTTTGCAGCGGTCATTTCTGATTCTGTGATTAACAAACGAAACCATCTTTTTAAAACGCTGCTGTTTTGTCTGAACCAGCCATGCCAACATCTTGTCGCCATACTCCAAGACAGTCCCTGCAATAATAGCAAAAGCCTCAACTATCTACAATCCTATCATCTATGCTATCATACACAACAAATACAGGTAAATAATGATTCGGTAATTTCATTTTAAAGTTTCATATAAGCCCCGTGTGTTGTGCAGTGCCAATGTATTATTTTGGAAGAAATGTTACCAACATGTAGCAAGCTGGAGTCTAAACGAGTGCATTGTTCTGCACTGTACAGGATGGCACTGGCAGAGAAATTTCCCTGCCTGTGGTTTCTGTCTCCCACTCCTCGAAAAGAATGCATCTCATCCTCCATCAGCGAGTCCTCTTTCAGAGACTCAATCATCAGCAGACAGTCGTCAGCATCAAGGACCCACTTTATTACTGCCTCCTCCAAGCTCTCTGACGTGGTAAGTTAGGTTAGAGTAGATTTTATCTGGTTGTTGTTTAAGATGCCCGAACAAACAAGATTTATCTTATGTTGAATCTCTCTCTCTGCTTATCTAAAATGAATTCTAATAAATATGAAGTATTAATAATCTTAGCAAGATGCAGGTGGAAATTGCACTAATATTAGTTTTGAATAATGTTTGGCATCTACTAAACTTCCTCAGTTTAATTATTTTTTTTTTTTTGCTTGCAGTTATTGAGGGATGTGGAGATGGAGCCTCTGGGCAGGAGGTCAGGTGATTCCTTCAGAAGCATATTATCACACAGTCAGTCCTGTAAGAGTTCCTGTAAAAAACAGTTAGACCGGAAGACAACCAAAACCCACACAGCAGAGAAGGTGAGAAAACACTGCAGAAAAAGTGTGAAAGTGTGAATCTGAAAACTCACAATGTTATCTTTTATTCATCTACGATTTACACTACGTGCCCGCATGTAGTCAAACATCACACATCCATGATCTGAAGGTGATTTTCTCATGTATGTGTTCACTTTTTGACACTCCCAGCATCCGTCTGTCATGAGTGAACCATCAAGGACCTGTGATCACGAGCTGGTTTCCAGTTCTCTGAGCATCGCCGCTCTCCCCCTCCTGGTTCTTACCAGGAGGCGCAGCCACAGTCTGACCAGTGCGATTTCAGATGCCTGTGGTGAGAAAGGAAGAATCTGCGATAGGCTGAACAGCCACAAGAGCGATTCTTTTGATTGCCTGAATTTTGGAAAAATGCCACCCACAGGCCCCAGATCACCCCAGGGTGTTCCTCGCATCATCGTCATCAGTCCCACCACTGAAAGCAGCCTCATTAACCAAGACAGTGTCTCCTTAGAAGACAGCATTGAGTCAATGGAGAACAATGTTTTTGTCACCCTAAACTTTTCATCAGAAGTTTTTGAGGCACTTGAACTACTTTCTTGACCAACTGGACTACTGGATGTTTCCAGATTAATAAAAAAATATACATCAAACTTTTTGCTACATGCCAACATTCATATTGGCTATATAGACATAAGGAGTTATTCAGCTCTTACATGTATGCGTGCCCCTCTACTCCCCTCTATTGACTAATTGACTCGACAAGGAAAACTTGTATGGCAAATGAAACAATAAGCTGATTCTGTTATGCAGTGTGCAGTGTGCAGTGTTCGTCAGAGTTTGGCACAGACAAAGGACCCCTAAGGGGCAGCAAGCTTTTATTAGATCTTTCAAAAATGACAAGTGCAACTACATATTTTCAAGAGCTTGGGGCTAAAGCTTGACAGGCTGAATTTAAGTTTATCTATTGAAGCAAAGGTCCATGCAGCTGTGATGGAAACTTTTGAACTGAAACAGAATTCATTCTTTAAGCCAACATCATGGATTCTCTTCTGGCCACTGAAGAGAAGCGTTAGGAATAGTTCCCTCCTCCTCTTTCCTCGGGACAAGGCAATATGTGTAAAAATGTAACCCAACAAGGCAGCAAATCAAGAGCACTGATTATATGTCCGCTTTGGAAAAGGAGCACACATAAACAAAATAAGTCGTTTTTAGTAGGTTTTCTTTTTGGCTTTTATTACCACAAAGAATTTGACAGCACAAAATCTTGTGTTGTAACACTAATCCGTTAGGTCATATGGACTGCTTGAGCTTTTTCACTGGCACAGAGTGAAATGAGGTCATTTTTATTATTCAAATACTGAAACTGGGTCAAATGTGTCTCATAAAACAATGACATTTTATCGGCGCAATATTTCTGTACATGTTTAAATACAGTATTTAGGCACACGTCACTTCTCAGAGAGAGTACATGATTTATGTGATGTAAGTATATGACGGCTGCTTTATGTATATTTTGCCATTTGATGCTTGTGCATCTTTTGGTTTTGTAATTATAGAACTGTTTTGAAAAAAAATGAGGACATGCTGGAGAAGCTCTTATATTTGAATCAATATAAAAAGAGTATATATTTAAGCTGATGCATCTGGTGATGATGATTATCTGTAACAGCTGGTCTAAGCTTAGTGTTAGTCAAAACACCTGAATTAGTAGGCAGAAAACTAATATTGACGATCATCCAAATCATAAACTACTTTCAATGACAGCCCTTTAAGACACCTTTAAAGGACAAATTTCTTCCTCTTCAGCAGGTGTAATGGCAAATAAACTATTATTGATTGCCAGTGTTTGACAGGAAGAAAGAAACACAAGAAAGAAACACTTGAATCAATGAAACACTTTAATCTCTTTAGTTTGCCTATAAAGTCCACAGAGTTTAACATTTCATTAGAGAAGGAGTGTGTGGAGGTAGGAAGGTAAAAAAAAAATGTTCTGATGTTGAGCCTGAATGTACACTGACTTTTGTGCTGCAGCTCTCATCTGGACAAGCAGAAAAATGCAGATAAACACCTGCACCAATATCTCACTGAAGGTCACTTGTGTTATTGTGGGGTTTTTTTTACACCATAATAATAAATGCAGAATTTATTTCTGCTCTGCTGATATGTAAGTTCTACCTTTAAAAATGATTTGAAACAAATGAAAGTGCCAGATGACATGAAGGGAAGTATTGTACATGTTGTTAACTACACTGTAATTAAGCATTCATTAAGCATTAAGAGTTATATCTGACACAGACACTCAGGCTGACCATTCCTAAAATCTCTGAATTTTCAGAGATTTTTTTCCACGTGTCTGTGTGTCACTTCCTATCATATTAGTTTGACAGCTAACAACAGAAAGCGATCCCCATCCACCGCACTCTTAATGCCCTTGAGCTTTTAAGAAGAAAGTATTTTTTCAGCCTGGTTTGGAACCACAAAAAGTATTGTGTGTGTTAAAATACACTTGAATTTTTGTGCCAGTTTTTATGCCAGTGGTGACAAAAATCACACAAAATTAAATGAAATCATGCCAACAAAGCATCATCACCACACCCTCTAATGAGTAGCGTTTGTTTACTTTTTAGCATTACTTCTTCTTTTTTTATTTACCCACAATAATGTTGAATATGTATTTTGAACTATTAACACTATAATATAATGTGTGTTTCATGCCTCAACTCAGCTATTTTATTTACCACTTTCTATTCATTTTGTGCTACTATAATAACATCTGCAAAATTTGTATTTATTGTCTTATTATTTGTGAACAGTTAAAGAGAGTCGTGGTAGGGAGAGTTATGGCACTTTTACGGTTCGTAAAGTGTTTGGATTCACCAAATCACGTAGATAAAGTTATTAAACCTGTGTTGAACCTCTACTTAAACTGCTTTTTTGTGACAAAACACTTCACCGTCTGTTGTATGTAACCCAACCAGGGTATACTGGGCTCTTACGGACACAACATGTAATGATTACACAGAGTCTACAGCTTGCACACTGACCTGTGTATGTGTACAGTGGAAAACTAAATAAAATATCCCGATTGTTGTGGAGGTTTTAAGACAGAGTATAATAGAATAAATGGATCTGTTACAGTTAGGCATACTTCAGCCTTTTATTCACATTTCATTTCCTTAAAAATTTATTCCTGACAATGAATGCAAAAGGAGCTAGTAGAAATTTTAAAAGCCTTCAGAATTGTAAGAGGACTATTACTTAAGATCACATAAAAATATGGACAAGTCTGGCTCCTTGGAAGCAGAATATAAAGAAATGGAGGGTGGATCACTCAACTGTTTCTGTTACATGAATTATGTGTAATGACAGCACACAACCACCGGAGGGAAGCAGACAAATAATCTATGTTGGCTTTTGGTTCGGAGTTTTCATTTTTCCACATCCTTAGAAAGAAGCATAAAACAAATGCGAGACTTGTTATTAACTCAGTCACAAATAAAATGTGTTAACTGCTTCAAGTGTACCTGTCATCCCAAAGGGTAGGACACCTGAGTTTGATTAGCCTGTTACCATGCTATCCTACATACTGATACTGTTTCCAAGAGATTTAATTGTAGGGGAGGACCCAGTCAAACTGTGTGACTGTATATGAGTTTTATCATCATACCTGCTGACAGGTGTGTCTCGGCCTGTGTGTGACTGTGTTCATATTTCACAGAAAGACATACAGAAAGATGACATCATCATGCAAAAAAACGTAAGCGCCTACAGTGCGAGTAAGGCTGCTCCTGACTGAAACTGAAGATAGCGAAAATATAACAGGTTAACAAGCACAAGTGGTCTCTGGTTTATGTCATACCTTTAGGAGTGTGGATGCGCACTTCCTTTAGCCTATACGACAAACCCAAGTCACTGACAGGGTCACGGTGTGGTCGCACGCAAGTACGAACTGGCAGGTTTTTTTTTTTTTTTTTTTTTTTTTTTTTTTTTAACCCACATTGTGTAAAAGTTGGTTCACATAATTAAGGTAATAAATTATTCATTTACCACAATAATCAATTTATCTTCATGTGTCTAAAGTTTCTATTAAAACTGAGCTTAACGCAGTCTTGCTAGTTGCTTCTTGAATAAGTGAGCAAGTGTGACCGAGTAAAAGCACGTGTGCGTGTGAAAACGAGCTTTGCAATCAGGAGGCATGAATTTCACGCCTCCTGAACCAACTGTCCGGCTGACTGCGTCATGACGTCGCTCCATTGGGACCTACCTCACACAATGAGATGTCAAACACACGGAAAACTGGCCTGCAGCAGCACACTGGACGGAGCACAGACTTCCAGCAGGGGCGAAAGACTTTCCAGCCACAGGGTGAGCCATGAACACCTGTTTAGTAAACTGTGAATGCCTTTTGTGCTGATGGTATTTATTTATTTATCTTTGTATATGAGGCCTATTCAGTTTTATTTAATCCTAAGATTTGCTGTTCTTATTTGCTGGACACATATTGAGGAAAAGAACATATTTTCAGTTGTAAGCTTGTGTCACGTTTCGGGACATGAGATGAGGTGGCCACGCACTGTTTTTCAGTCTCCATGGTGTTGTGGTAATTTGCTTATGTGATGTATTTTTAAAATGGTACACTATAGCTGTTTAATTTGTGCTGTCCTAAGAATACCAGAAAGTGAATCCCGGGCATGATTGCAAGAAACATAAGGAGGAAGGTATAGTATGTGTATGCTGGCTAGGGGAGGCGGGGGGGGGGAATGCAGTATTGATGTTTGGTGGTGCTTTGGTGTGTGCTGAATGGAGCAGATGCTTTGATCTTCCCTAGAGACCCTGCTCCTTGCTCCTTCTAAAGCTCTGCCTCTGGTCACAGATATATGGGCAGGGATGGCAAGCCTAAAGCTACACAGACTCACTTTTTAATATTTACTTCTCTTATTATGAAGGTCTGCTCTAACAGAAAGCACATCCCAACCTTAACCAATCTTAACCCTTGGCAGGAATTACCTAAAGTCAGGGCCAGCCAAATATGTCTTCATTTTCCACAAATGTCTTCACTTCCATAGTGTAAAAGTCTGAGTGATCATTGCAAAGTTACAAACCACTACATCCTGAATATTAAATACGGGTTTTGATTAATTTAAACAATAGTGTAGTTTTAAGTTCTTCAGCTTTTGCCATCTCTGTGTAACCTTATCTGCCCTCCTTCGCTTCTTTTTCTTTGTATCCTGTGTTTATTTCTTCCCTCTTTCACTGCAGTCAACACAGAACAGCTGCTGTCTACTAGAGAGGAAGGAAGTAAAGCACTGGAAAGTCTACTCAGTGCACTAAATATGCAGTGCATGCGTGTGTGTATGTGCATTTCTGGGTCTTGTGTGTGCTCTTGGAGTTATGGATGCATAGCTGCCTAAATGTGGTAGAAAGCATCACTCATCCATAATTCATTTTATCCACCAAGGCCTGTGTCATGACATTGAGGTCATGATATCATGAAGCCTGTCTGAACAAGACAACTCCATCATGAAAGACTGACAAGCTGTCAAATCACAAAACCTTTGACACCGTGGGATGGAAATATCATGCTCAAGTGTTTCTCTATTACAATTTACACATATTAGAGGAGATACTGCAATGGTTCAAGCTGCGATGACCTTTCATATTTCTTTCTGCTTATTGTAAATACTGCCATGAAGTATCTGATATGTCTAAATAAGAGGAAATTATTAAAAAAATGTGTGTCGGCAGACATTAATTATACTTTATTTTAGCTAATTTCAATTACAAATGTGGAAATAGTGTCGCTTAAAAGTTGTATTATTCTTTCTGTATTCTCTGAGATGTTCCCATATGTTTTTCCAGTATAAAGAAACTTATTTCTGTGAAGGTAAGCTGTTTTTATTTAGAACAGTATTTGAACAAAAAGAAAAAAAAACCCTACTTGATTTGGTTCAGCTGACAGTCTTACCAGCTTTGAGGGTATCATCAGCTTGAAGGAAAGCTGAAGGTTTTTTTCCAGAGGCGCATAAACGTCCTCATTAAACGTCATACGAAACTGGCCATTATGTTTGATTCATGTGCAAAAATGGAAATGTATGCCCGAGCGTGATGCGGCACAAATCGTAGTGTCCATCACTCTACCTCAGAACAGGAGGTGACCAGAGTAATCAAGAGCAGCTGATCCCAAAAATCTTAAGTGGTGCATGGTCTGTTTGAAATTGGTGTATTGGTGTCCCTGAGGCAACATTACACTTGGCTTGGCTTTTATTGACCCAGACTTGACCCAGGCATTGAGGAGTTCTGCGTGCACATTTGCGGTCTGAGAGAGCGAGAGAGGGAAAGTGTGCGAGTGGACCTGTGTGTTCATGCCTGATTCCTCTCAGTTTATCTTTCCTAGGGTGGACAATCATTTTTGCTGAGCTTTCTGAATCCCAGTGCGTTTGTTTGTCTATTTCTGTCTGTCTGGTCATAAGGGAGGAATATTTTCCACTGTGAATGTAATCAGTTCTAAACAGTGACTCGCTTTAGACTGATGATACAGGCTTTTCACAATAAGCTCATAAGAGTTCAGGCCGCTCTCTACTTCTCTGTTTTTTTTATACAAAATGCAACTCTAACCCTAACTGTGCATGACAGTACAGAAATGGGTTGAGGGGATTAGTTAGGCTTATAGCAGTCTGGAAGGGTCAAACTGATTAGATTGTTGAGAGACAAATACTGTTCATATTAGAAAAAATGTCAATAGTGTCATCATGCACACACCTCTGAGTGAAAAATCTGGATATGGAGTAATCAGTGTAACCGTTCCTTCCTGGATTTCAAGCTACAAGTGCCCTCGGAAATATAAAAGTGAACGAATTTTTTTTTTTTTTACACTAAACAAAGCTGCCACAAGAGGGTTATTTGTGTATTTTTTCAGTTCACCCATTTTTATAGAATAGTATTACAGTTCAGTATATAGAGTTTTTATAGTGTGTTCACTGTAAATCTGGGCGTTGTATATTCGACAAAAAAGAGCTTCAAACTAATTTATAATTAATGGTATTCAGACCTCTGCTGACCCCAGTTTGGACGAGAATCATTAGGTTTACACACAATAGAGATTTTATGTATGTTGTGTCCCTTGGGGTTGTGTGCATGTGTGTGTGGGCGGGTGGGTGTGGGCAGCAGCTGGCAGACTAAGGGGTTGCTGTCCCTCTTTTATTCACATGGATGATGCATTAAATGTTATTTAGAAGGGCAGATTATGATAGCATTAAAGGGTGGAGCTTGTCTCGGTGTGAGCATGTGTGTTTGACTGCAGGCTGCTAAGCTGCGATCATTAAGCATGTGGAGAGGTGAGCATATGGAGACTGGAATAGACCATTTGACAGAACAAAAGACTGGCAGGGTGTCTGAGGTTTCGTGCTTTAGACCACTCACTATTGTTAGAGTTTAATATTATTATCCTCTACCTCACAAATCCCCTTTGTTCTCTGTGTTACAGTTTTTGACAGCATAAGCAATTGATCTTATGTCTTTAAACAGTGAGTTAGACTGATGGGTCTATATTTTAGAAAGCACATCTCCCTGGGACTCAATATCAGTCGTCCTGTTACATGAGAATGGGACAGTGGTACAAAGCCAGTGAGATAAACTGATTTTTTCATTTATATTTCTTTATTTGGTAGTAAAGAGATTAAAATGGCTACCCTAAAACACACTTTTGTGTTGTCATGCTGTAAAGTGCATACGTGATTTGAGGGTTTTTAATGAGAAAACAGATTTCATTAAAGAGTAGATTAAAACTAGTAAAATGAGCAGTACAGTAATTCTTAAGCATTAGTTCCTATAGTGGCTGTAAGGCTGCTGAATACTATTACCTTACAGGAAGCAGTCGACAGTCAAGCCATAAAGAGATTTTAAAAAGCTCCTGCACAAATGGTTTTGAGCCTTGCATAAAGACACTGGTTGTTGCTCATTGTTGTGGTTGATGCTTAGCTTGCAGTCATAATCAATCTGTCACGGCGCTGATTTGTTGCCTACTTTAATGCCCAAAACACACCATGCCTTCATCTGTGGGCAAAAAATCTCTAGCCTTTTCCTTCATGAGTGAACTTTAATGTTGATAGAAGGAAAAAAACAAAATGTGTTTGTTAGTGTTTCTGTGGCTGATTGTTTTAGGATATAACACTGGCTATTTGGCAGTTTGCACTACTTTAGGTCTGGGAAAACTTTATAGAAGGCAAAATTTTAAACAAGGACTTCCTGATTATCTGATCATCTTACTCATAAGGATGCTATTATATTATTGTTTTCACATAATGCCTGATCAGCCATCTGCAATAAAGCCTAAAGTAAACACAGTGCCTTTAGTAATTAGATTTACTGTAAAACTTAGGATAGGTCTAACCCTATCAAGAAGCTTCAGCTCAGCAGTGGAAACAAAGTTAATGACTCTTCCATCTTTGGTCCTCCCAGGAAAAGCTGCTCTTTTGTTACCTAGCTGTACTGTAGAGGTATGCGCTGTCAATGTGGGAATGTTTATTAGCAGGATAATGAAAAGCATCTTGTTTTTATGTGCGAGTGCGTTGTATGCGTTTAACGGCATACTATATGTGAAATGTTAGCCCATTTACTCCATCCTTTGATCTTTTTATCTGAGATATCTACACTCTTTTCTTTTTCAGTCTTTTAGACCCTTTACGCCTACACTTTTCCATGCCGATTTTATATCCAACAGACTTAAGACTTTTTCTCACGCTTCAGCTTCCCTCCTCTGCTTTGATGTTTGTTGATTTTTCTTGAGAAGTCATTTTTTGATTGTGGTCTACGGTTGCTGTATCTACCACTGCCACAACCAGAGTTATGACTTGGCAAGATGTGCTGACTGTGTATTTGGTCAAGGCCAAGAAAGGAATGGGATGAGTTTTTAATTGAGCCACTACTATGTCAGTATAAATATAAAGTCAATATTGATCTGTCTCGGGTAAAATAAGGGGGCACGGACAAAAGCCAGCTCAGAATGAGACAAATTGCGGCTGTCTGGACATAAATAATGGAGGTACTGATAAATAAATAAGCGGGAATGAGTGTGCTGCACTTATGAGTTATATCGCTTAAGTATAAAAGAAAAATATTTATAACAATTTTCCAAAATGTGCTGAGATTATAGTATAGATTATGTAATTTAGTGCTCAGTTTGGCAAAGCTTGTTTGCCTAATTATTAGAGCGGGGGAAGTTGATTCAGGTCACAGAAAACACTGTAGATTTAGAGATTTACAGATTTAAAGCCATGGATGAATATCTACTTCTCTTAGATTGTTTCTAATGGAACAACAGTGTTGCAGTTGTTAAACAACCATCACACACTGACTTAAGGCAATCTTGACCTTATACAGTCGCCATTATTAAGTGACCCCTGAGCGACCTTTGCATTGATGCCTTTGGAATGAATTCCCTAGTCATGATATGGATACACTGGTTCCAGCTTAAACGAAGCTGCCTGCAGGACTGAGTCTATGTTCCCAAAATATCTGGATGGAAGATAAACTGTCCCCTCTCCTGTGCCTCTTCTGCCTCCCCTGATCATGTGTGCGCAATGCTCCCACTGTCTTTTTCTTAATCCTCCACTTTGCTCCCTTCTTCTCCCCTCTTGTTGCCCCCCCCCCC